TCTTTATATGTATCTCTTCCTAACATATTTGTTATATTTTCCTGCTTGAAATGAAATCAAATAGAACCATAATTTAGGTCATATTTATTTGTAATAACTAGAGTAAAATCCATGAAGTCATAAAACCATAGAAGTCTACGATGATGACTGTCAGACGTATCACGTGATCCGAATAGCACCGAAGAAAAACGAAATTATCCGAACTGTCATTACTCGTCCGTTTACCGCGAATCTTACAACAGTAGAGTATTGATACAAGTAAAATGCTTGAAATTACAAGTTCGAATTATGAAGTGTTTGGTCTTATTTTAATCAGGAAAATGTCACAAACATGTTGGTAAAAGTCTCACAACAGAAAATCAAAAATAAAAAGGTTTTATTCTTACATTAAAATTTTCCGATATGTTGTTGTTTGTTTATGTTTGGTCGTTCGGGCGTTTACGCCGCTCGTTGCAGTTCTCTACGTTCGGTAAACTTCGGTCAATGTCGGAACTACGTCATATGAACGAAAGTTCAGACCACAAAAATCATTAATGAATTTTTGTGCATACATAAATAAATTCTTGATATTTTCATATCAAGGTTTAACTGTAATACTTTATTATAAGTAAAATTCGCTATTTTCTTACCCTATCATAAGTGAAAATCCCTAATTTCTTACTCTATCATAAGCACAAAACTTTCACGGTAAAAGAATGTTCAAACAATCATCAAAAACGCGGGAAACGGTGCAAAATGAATCGCAATAAGCTACAAAACCGTTCACACGATAATTTACGATTACTTTCGGTTCGAGAAAATGAATATCGATACTTTTGCGACAGATCACGCGTATAATTCGTTAAATCATATCAAAGTGAGTGGACCGAGTTGAAGCTTTGAATATGGTTTGGGAGGAAGAGGAGGTCGAAACCACGTGGCAGGAGGTGTCGACCTTCTACAGGCAAGGATTGAAGATTATCACGTGCAGTCAATACGATTATGCTGAACGTGGACCCGTATGTTACACCAGGATTGACCCTGAAAACCAGGAACCACCGCCAGGACTCGATTTCTCTCCGTTAATTTTTCAAAGTCTTTTCTACGTGCAAACGAAAAAAGGTTCCACTGTCTAGGACATTATACATTGCCCATCTTTCTTGCCGCATTGGCTAACGTCAGAAAATTGTGTCGTTTTTTGTATTAGTGAAAGAAAATGCAACAGTTTGATTAGATTGTAACATTTATTTATTAAAGTATGTCTTTTTATTTTTGAACGGAGTTGCGAATAATTTTTGTAATACTGAAACAAAAATAGTGATACTTCATAACTAAGAATGACTTTAGTTTAAAGAACAATTTATTCGTAGGGTATGAAATACAAATTTCATATGAAAAAAAAATGTTTGAAAATAGTTTTATTTGGAATAAGATTATATTTCAAACTTTTTATCCCAATGTGATTTAAATTTAAAAATAATTTTTGTTTAAATGTTTGATTTCATAAAAAATGCAGTTGTCTTAATAACTTAGAAAATATTAGATGCAAGAGAATCAAATTGTATAAATCTGATTTGGTTCCTCAAACATAATTGACTCAAACCCTTGATACAATAGTTAACAGCTTATTTTAGATAACAATTTTTGTCGACTCTCCCGTATGATAAATAAATAAATACAGTTAGTTTTGAACATGAATGATTAATTTCAATTGAGGAATCACTTAAAATATTTATCAACATGTACTGTAATGATGGAACAAGCACAAGTTTAAAAATAATCACAGTAGTCGTGATGTCTGACTTATTAGAGATCTCGACTACTAGCAACTCTTTGTAGTATTATAAGATGATGCAGATGGATGTTATGAAATGCAATAAGCGTAAAAGTTAGGATGATGTTTAATATTTAACTTTTGAAGTTTTATTATATTTTATAATATATCGTTTTGTAATCCATAATTTTATATTATTACTGTATTACTAGCAGAGAATGCTACCTGTTTAATATTTCAAATGATGAATCCCTTTTTTCTATTTTATTTTAATATCATTCGAAAATATCTTTCCAATATGTATCAGTATCTCATATTTCGCCTGTTTTGTGCCAAATAATAAAAGTTACTGGCAAGTGTCCTATATGACGACCTTTAATGAAAACCTCGTGATGAAACTATTTTTTGGCTGTAGAGCTATACAGGATGTGTTGCGTACTTATGATGAATTATATTTCGAATTTGGTAAGAAATAAAAAAGAACTGTACAAGAAGAAATTAAATGTTATAATAATGTCTCTTTTTCTATTATATCATTTTGTTCGTGCAACAATGTATACAAAAAATGCAAATGTGCTTTTTTAAAATGGAATTGCATATATTCTCTAATACATATCAATTGTCCGAATTATTCAATGTAAAAACGTATGAAGGTACAATATTTAAAAAACTAATATTTCCGATATCTCATATTTTTGATAAGTTAAACGATTCGTGAAAGATACTGTGTTTACACATGATGCATTCATTTCAAACAATGACCTACGACGAACTTATTTTAACTGATGATTTAGAATACACAGAATAACAGTAGTATAATAGTATATAATAGTATATATTACAGCAGTATAACAATAGTGTTATAGCTATGGGGTTACCATGTTCTCTCGATCTCAACTCTTTCAATTTCTTTCTAGCAAGGTTACCTTAAAGACAATTGCACTCTCGTTCATTAGTTTCTGTGGAAGACACAGAAGAACGAATTAAACATTCTTCAAACATAAACGGCGACCACATTAATTTCGTTTCGAAAAACATAAAGAAACGCTATATGAAATGTTTACAACGTGCAGACAGAACGTTTAAACATCCTCACTAATGAAATAAGTAGCCTATCAAAAATGTGAGATATCACACGAAATATTGGTTTCTTAAATTTTGTACCTTAACACGTTTTACGCAAAATGTTTCGAGAAGTTAATACCAGTAAAAAACATGCAATTGTATTTAAAAATAAATGCATTTGCACTTTATGAATTTATCGTTGCGTTCAGGTGAAAATGAGGTCGTAGAAAAATAGACATTATTATACCATTCAACGTTTTTGTCAACAGTTTTTTCCTATCTCTTAACAAGTTCCAATTGCGTGACGCACTCAGTTTATATGTTCTATACACCGGTACTAACTGTATACAAAAGTTTGACTATGCAATATCGGAAGACTGAAGAACGGGAATAGCCTATCCACTTCTGAGGACATCTATGACCTCGTTATATGATGGAAGAGCGTATCAAGTGTGAAGCCGAATTTACACCTTTTCATTTTCGATGAACATCGCGAGTGAATCATCCGCGGCGAATGCAAAAGATGAAAGCCAAAGTATTTATACCAGTTCGCGGCTGGAATTCGCGGTTCATTCTGAAATATTCTTACGCATTCAATATAACTGTACTTGTAATATCATTCATGCACTTATCTCGTACTAGGCTTTTGTATTAAATTATTAACTTGTACCAAATTATATTATTATTGAGTGATTAATTCATACTCAGTTGTATCAGTATTGCGTTACATTCACTTTATTTACATTTAAAAAGGTCTTGTGTGTAACAATTTTTTATTTCGGTAAATCATCCGGATTTTTCACATAATTTCAAATATAATTTCAAAAATTTAATTATCCAAATTAATTTAAGTATACGATTATTAGAGGTTATCAGAAATAGACAAGTTTTCATTGCAATGAAAAGATTTTAACATCACGAAATTAATAGATTTTCATATGCTAATTATGTAGAAATTTTCATTTCTTAAAATTATGATACAAAATATTTAAAAAAAACGGAAGTTGTGGGAAAAATAGCACTTAATGTGGAACACAGGAAACTTGTAAAAAATGTATTTATTTTTGTTACGAAAAATGAGTATTTATTTAAATGAAATAGATAAGTAAATAAATGTCTTCCACTTTTGTTGAATTTATTTTATACATTATTTTTAAAAATAACCTTATAATACTATATAATATTAAGAAGGCACGTATACGCACTACACAACCTGTTTTATATTACATAATCCATCTTATACCCGCATTTCGACAGAAACCTAATAATTCTCTTAAAAAGAAAATAAATTTAATGATAAATTGTTTTTGAACACCAAAAACAAACATATTCAATGATAAATGCAGAAATAATATTTTGTACCTTCCTTAAAACTCTAATTTTTTATCTAGTTCTTTAAAAACTTTAAGAACTATGAAACAATGCTTTGTGTCCACCGACACACTTTCCAAAGCTTAATTAATGTGATTGTCATTTATTTATAATAAAATATTTGACGCGGTCACTGATCGATTTTACTTATTTACCAAGCTATTATAACGTATTAGATTACCCTAGACAAATAATAGTTTCTTGATAACAGTAAAAGTTTTTAAAGGTGTAAAAGCGTCATGAGTCGACGAAGACCCGAAAGACCGTAGCAGGATTAATTAATCTTGTTTTACGAGTAAAGGCCATTATCTAATCAGATCATTGCATTTTCTTTCACCGACACAAAAAGCGACAAAATTTTCCGCAGGACCTGATAACTCACCTACTTATCATTACGCGTTACGTTTTTCTTTTTTGCGAAACAATGTACGTTTTAAGAGCAAGAACGCATGAATTTAATTTTTGTCAAAATATTAGAATTACAGTAATTCTTTGAACTGACTATAGCGAGTTTGGCAGTGGATGATCCACACTGCATAAACGCATTTTTATTACCTTTAAAATGTAAACGTGTTTCGTGCACGTCCGACTCGTCCTCCAATAGGCAAAAATCTATCAAAAAGTCTGAAAGAATTCATGCAACTTTTTTAAACGATCCTAGTATTCCAAGAGCGAATCAGACAAGCTAAGTTATAATAATAGGTTTAAAACATAAAAGGATGTTAAGTATTATTAATGAGAAATCAGATTGTTGGATTTAATATGATGGTTCGTAAGCATGTGAAGTTCTGAATGCATCTTGTTATTTCAGCGGAAGTAAAGATGCCAAGCGGGAATGTGGATAAACCAGTGATCGAGGATAATCGTGATGGCACCGTGTCTCTTAAATATGATCCAAGAGAGGAGGGACAACATGAAATTTCTGTTAAATTTAACGGCGAACATGTCCAAGGTATGAGTAATTACATAACGTATTAACACGTTCCTGACCAGCGCATAGCGTGATGAAACGAAATGACGACGATGAAAACTCGATTTTCGTCACTTCGTGCATTTAATTACATTGACAACTTCTACTGATTTTGTTATAGTGCTAATTTTAATATAGTACTAATTTTGTTATAATATTAATTTTGTTAATATAGCACTGATTCTATTTCAGTATAAATATTGTTAATATAGTATTTATTTTATTAATGCAGGATTGATTTCGCTATGATACTCATTTTATCATAGTACTATTTTCACATAAGGTGAAGTGGGGTAAATTCGTAAACGGGGAAAGTGCGTATACAGGCTATGTTTATTACAATATGAGCGAAATTTCTCCATTTATTATGTTTGTTTTCTTGTTTGGTTTCACTATACCCCTTTTATATTTCAGCTAAGAGTACTTGTTTGCTGTATCGAGTACTTGCATAATGCAGTAAAAAGCATTTTATAGCAGATTTGTTAATAACTCTGCTCTTGCCCCATTGCACATGAAATAAAGTTTCAAAGTATTTAACTTCAAGCTACGCTCTTACCCCATTTTCGGGGAAAGTGCAGAGTAGTTGACATTTTAAACAATTTCCTATCAAAATCAAAGTGTACAAGGAAAATTAAGGTCCTAGTTAATATTAATTAAATAGTAGTAATTGTGCAAAACGTTCGATATCGACAGCATTAAGTATTTATATAGCAGACTGAGAATACTTACGTTTAAATACCAACTTTACAAAAACCAGTCTGCACTTACCTCACTTCACCTTAGTACTGATTGTATTATAGTACTTATTTTGTCGGCATAGAATTGATTTTGTTATGCACACACATTGTCTTTTGCTATACGCCAATTTTCTTTGTAAAATAATAATTTTATTCCAGTACTGATTTTATTAACATAATGATTAACATATGATGTTGATATAACATATGACGTTGTTATAATTCTTTTAATTTTGTTAATATAGTACACATTTTATTGTAGCACCAATTTTCTTAATACAATACTAATTTCATTACAGTACTAGTTTTATTACAGTACTGATTTTGTTAGTACAGTATTGATTTTATTATAATACTAGTTTTGTTAATATATTATTAATGCAGTTATAGTACTAATTTTTAAAAATTTGAAATTTTAATCTTAGTTTGTCTAATTTGAAAATATAAAACCAGTTTTTATTGAATCTTGCAAATTGAATATCAATTAAAATTTTTAATATTAATTTTTTGGGATTTAAAAATTTAATATTCAATTTTCTTTTGTTCAAAAATTCGAAATCAGTATTTATTAAGATTTAGATATTTAGCATCGATTACTTTAGTATTAACATTTAAAAATTTTTATTTTGATATTAATTGAGGCTTAAAGACTTTAATATTAATTTTTACTGAATCCCAAAAATTTAACATCAATTTTGATTGAGATTTACAATTTTCGGTATTAATTGCAAATTCACTATTTATCTTTTAAATGTAAAAAATTTAATTGTAATTTTTGTTGATATTTAGAAGTTTAATGTTAATTAAAAAATTAGGAAAAAATTGATTTCTTAAAATTGAGAAATTAGGATTAGTTTTCTAAGATTAACAAATTTAATACTAATTTTTATCGAAATTTAGAAATTTAATATCATTTAAAAATGTTATATTTAGTAGTTTTATTAAACTTACGAAACTGTGTACTGTTTGTTAATTAGGTTCACCATTCAGATTCCATGTGGATTCCTTAGCGAGCGGTTACGTGACAGCTTATGGGCCAGGTTTAATCTATGGTGTTTGCGGTGAACCCGCGAATTTCACCATTTCCACGAAAGGAGCTGGAGCTGGTGGTCTCTCATTAGCAGTCGAAGGACCTAGCAAAGCTGAAATCTCCTGCCACGACAATAAAGATGGAACCGTTTCAGTTTCCTATTTACCCACTGCCCCAGGAGAATATAAAATCACTGTTAAATTCGGTGACAAGTACATAAAAGGCAGCCCTTATGTTGCTAAAATTACAGGTACGAAATTCGACCTGCTTTATTTGCGTTTGCAGAATTTAACGTCTTAGGTGTGGTCAAATTTTGTGCAAACTGTTTCTCTCTATGATCAGTGATTGCAGACATAACAAGATAATTGCCTTTGTTTTCGAGGGAATATGAATCTCTAGCTCGGAAACGGGCGCCATCTGCTTTATTTTGCTATAAAATTATGAAACACTTCGTAGGGCAGTATTTTAGCACACTTTAAACTGCTATTTATACTATTAAATAGATAGTCACATTGTATTAGAAAAAGAAATATTCCAGCTTTCTACTGCGTACCTGAGATCTTCAGACCCCAAATTCGTGTGTCCCTAAGATTAAAGGCTTAACCTTGTTATGTCGCTAGCCAGTGGTACGGCAAAGTACGATAATCGAATGAATCCGTAGAGTGAGCCACTAACAGTCGTCGTAATACATGTCCTGAAAGTAATGTCAGTGACTTTATTGTGACGCGACTTTATGTCGGACCGCGATTTTTTCGGTTAAAATTGGTAGTACGGGAAGTCAGCTAAACAGATCTCCGCTGCTGAAGGTGCTCCGAGCATCCGGAGAGTGAGGACGAGCGTATCCGTGAGAATTGTTTTGTGTCACTGTACAAGTCAAAATGCAGCGCTTGTTAGAACAAAGAATTGCGATCAAGTTTTGCGTGAATATTGGAAAGACCGCGACGGAAACGGTTGCTATGATCAAGTCAGCTTATAAAAAAGATGCCCTGTCAGATCAGCAAGTGTTTCGGTGGCACAAGGCCTTTTTGAAAGGCCGGGAAGAGGTCGACGACGAGGACCGTGCCGGACGGCCATCCACGACCACCACAGCCGACAATGTGACACGAGTGAGGGAATTATTGAATTCAGACCGACGGTTAAGTGTTCGTTTAATGGCCGATATGCTAAATATTCCAAAAACTCAAGTGTATGGCATCGTCACGAACCATATCGGCAGACAACTGGACGTTACACCACGCTCCGGCCCATATGGCCTTTATCGTCTCCGACTACTTGGTTAAAGCAGGGGTGCCAGCGATTCCCCAGCCCCCGTACAGCCCGGTCATAGCTCCTCCCTTTTTTTGTTTCCACGAGTCAAAACACCCATGAAAGGCAAAATTTTCGGGACATTGAAGGAAATTCCGGAGGAGGCCTACAGCAATGCATTCGAGAGCTAGAAGATTCGCTGGAGCCGATGTATTGACGCAGAAGGAGCCTATTTTGAAGATTTTTAATCATTTGTAGCGAGCAGTTCAATAAATGATTTTTAATCGACTTACTGACATTACTTTCAGGACATACCATGTAAATTTTCAAAACACAAGAGAAAGAAATCTTCCTCCTTGAACCTCACCTTTTTTCTAAGAATCTGATATTTTCTATCCACTAAAAACAGTCCACTGTTATATTTGCAGGCGAGGGTCGCAAGAGGAATCAAATCTCGGTGGGTTCATGCAGCGAGGTCCAACTTCCCGGAAAAGTAACCGACACCGACATCAGATCCTTGAACGCATCCATCACAGCGCCCAGCGGTCTGGAGGAGCCATGTTTCCTGAAGATGTTGCCGAGCGGCAACATGTGCGTGTCATTTACTCCCCGCGAGGCTGGCGAGCACACGGTAGCCGTGAAAAAGCTGGGTAAACACATCCCCAACTCACCTTTCAAGATCGACGTGAAGGACCGCGAGGTGGGAGACGCGAAGAAGGTCAAAGTATCCGGTCCAGGCTTGAAAGAGGGTAAAACGCATGTGGAGAACACGTTCTCGATCGACACAAGAAACGCTGGCTTCGGAGGTCTCTCGTTGTCCATGGAAGGACCCAGTAAAGCGGAGATCCAGTGCAAGGACAACGAGGATGGCACCTTGAACATCTCCTACAAGCCCACGGAGCCTGGTTACTATATAATGAACCTGAAATTCGCCGACCACCACGTAGAAGGCTCTCCATTTACCGTGAAGGTGTCCGGTGAGGGTAGCAATCGTCAGAGAGAGAAGATTCAACGGCAGAGAGAGGCTGTGCCCATCACGGAAGTTGGCAGCCAGTGCAAATTGACCTTCAAGATGCCTGGAATCACGTCATTTGACCTGGCTGCGACTGTCACGTCACCTGGAGGTGTGACAGGAGACGCAGAGATTAAAGAAGTTGAAGACGGTTTATACGCCGTGGCGTTCGTTCCCAAGGAACTGGGTGTGCACACTGTGTCCGTTCGTTATAGGGAAATGCATATCCCTGGATCACCCTTCCAGTTCACCGTCGGGCCTCTAAGGGATGGCGGAGCTCACAGAGTGCATGCTGGAGGTCCTGGTTTGGAGAGGGGAGAACAGGGAGAACCTTGCGAATTCAATATCTGGACCAGAGAAGCTGGAGCTGGAACTCTGGCCGTGTCGGTGGAGGGTCCTAGCAAGGCGCAGATCGACTTCAAGGATCGCAAAGATGGCAGTTGTTATGTTAGTTACGTCGTGTCTGAACCTGGTGAGTCTCGTTTGCTTCTGAAGTGTTTGGAGAGTGGAAGATAGAGCGATGTGGAATGAATCATGTACGGAGTTCTTAAAAGAATTACTATGGGCCTGAACAGAATTAGTATATTCTGTATAGAGTTACTATGCGTGCAATATAAGGGGTTACGGGGTTTATTATATTTCAAAGAGAATTAATTTGAAATATGTAGGAATTATAGGAATGTCCATGAACGTAATAGCCGCTCCATAATAGAGAATTTTATAGAGAACCAAAACGATTAAATAGTTAGATGTGCAAAGTGGTACCACATAGTGGGTTTTTGTACTTTTGTAGAAATATATTGACAATGCAGGTTGAAGGTCAATTATAGGATATTTTTAGATGATCATTTACAATATTGATATGAAAGAAATAGTTGTCATATCGTATAGGATTAGAACAGTTAAATAGGTAGATGTATAATGGATGGATTATTATAACCGAAGTAGACTCTGTCAATTTTATATAGAAACAAAATGTTAAATAACTAACTGGGCGATATGTAGTAGGTTTCTTTATTTTTGTAAAATTGTATACACAGAATATAAATTGAATATCGAATGAATTTCAAGGAAACTTTAGTTAATGTATAGGGCTAACATACATGTATTAGTACATAGTTAAAGTGCAAGTTTTTATTAATATATTTTAAACGAATTGAATTATTGCATTCTTACATTCTTTTTCTTTATATATTATTAATGATTTTGAAAATTATTTCATTTAATTACTATCAATTTAAAATAAGTAAAATTTAATAACATATCGTTTAATTATTTCTTTTTCTAACTTTGAACAGAAAATATTTTGATTAATTAGTAATAATGCAGTAAATTTTCTATTTTTTTATAGTAATTTAATATATTATTATATTTCAGTATTGTCAATCTTATTAGATATATTAAGGAAAGTATTTAAGTATTGACAAGGTGACTTTATGATAGTGTGTGCTATAATAAAAAAGAGTCTGTAAAGTTCAAATAATTTACAGTGGATTTGAACAGTGAATGGCACTCCCAACAAGTAAAATAGTATAATTACATTTTGTTGTACCACTTTGCACTTTTATATAGTTGCATCTTTGATAGCTGATTCTATCTTGATGAAATTTTAACCTAACTTTACCTAACCTAACACAAATTCAGTTTTACTTTTGACTTAAAAAGTCAAAAGATTTCAAATTTCTAAAATTTTGAACTAAAGTCTCAAATACACTAAAATTCAAATATTTTGAAACTTCAAAATTCTAAAGCAAGATAGTTCTGCAATTCCAAAATTCTAAAATTTCAAGGTTCAAAAATTTTGATATTCCAAACTTTAGGGGTCTGACACTTGCAATTCTAAAATTTTTAAACTCCAAAATCCTATTAAAAAGAAATACTACAATTTCTATTTTAAAATTAGGTAGCACTAAATTTTAGTTTAACTAATTGAGGATTCTAATCATTTTAATCATTTTTATTAATTTAACTATTTTTATAAATCAAATTGGAGATATAAGAATTTCAATATTAATGTATTTAAGATGTAGGATGGTAGGTGAAATTTAATGAAATATTATTATTTTATACGCATATATGTATATATACGTAATGGTAATAATAATTATAATGAATACTATCATGAGTATGAAATCATAATGACTATCATTGTTATCATTATTGTTATTATTATAATTTCTTATACATATTATTTTACAATAAAATAAATTTCAAAAATTTCTATATGCAAAATAAAATAGTGATCAAATTTGAATAAAAGTAAACAATTTTTAATTAAAAAATTTCTAATATATATTTTAGTAAAAATGCACAAATACCCTATATGTATAATGTTACATTGCATATATAATTGTGAACTATTCGCAGTCTAATTACGAACTTGCCGCATAAATCAAACGAGCGAAGAAAACCAAGTAATTTAATTCTATGACTAATAAATCAAAAGAATCAGTAATGAAAACCGGTCGTGAAGTGTTCCGTAACGTGCTTAAATATCCGCCGTCATGTATAAAACCGTGGATGTATGCCAACGTCAAAGATCTACGTATATTTTAGTCAGATATGTAACATTGTCCTATGTCAACTCACGATAGTAAATCACATTTAAGTGATTCATGTAAAATGTAGCGATAATAACGAGTGCATGTACCTGAAATAGTGGTTTCTTGTCCTTCCATATTCTCATTAGTCGCGTTTTATACATACGAAAATAGTATCCAAATGGAAACGATATTTTACGAATATGTAGTCGTGAAAGCTGTCTACGCAGTTCCTGGTAACACTGCAACTCAGTCATTTAGCTTCTTAATGAATTAATAGTCTGATATGATTTACGAATTTTACCGAAGTGATTAGGACAGTTACTGTAACTTTAATTTTAGTTTGGTTAAACATTGAGATGGAGAGAACATTAATTATATATTTTTACCACTAGTGGCGCCATCTGTGCAGGTGTCGTCCATTGTTGTTTTAAGCACAGAAAAGGGATGATTTAAATTATCTATACTCGTCTAAATCCGTAACTCAGTACATGCACAAGTAAAACATACAAGGTGTAACTAATGCATAATAATGCATAATTAACCCTTCGTGCTCGAGAGGTAACTCTCAGTCACCATTTTATTTAAGGTGAAGTGGGGTAAATTCATAAACGGGGCAAATACGTATACAGGCTATTTTGATTACAAGATGAGCGAAATTTCTCCATTTAGTATGTTTGTTTCCTTGTTTTGTTTCACTATATCCCCCTTTATATTTCAGCTAAGAGTACTTGTTTACAATATAGAGTATTTGCATAACGCAGTAAAAAGCATTTTATAGCAGATTTGTTAATAATGCTGCTCTTGCCCCATTGTACATGAAATAAAGTTTCAAAGTATTTAACTTCAAGTTACGCTCTTACCCCATTTTCGGGGAAAGTGCAGAGTAGTTGACATTTTAAACAATTTCCTATCAAAATC